TTTTTTTGAGATAGAGTCTTATTCTGTGACCCAGGCTGGGGCAATCTTGGCTCACTGCAACCTCCACCTCCACCTCCAGGATTCAAGCAATTCTTGTGCCTCAGTCTGCTGAGTTTCTGGGATTACAGGCACACACCACCATGCCTGGCTAATTCCTGTATTTTTAGTAAAGATGGGGTTGGGGTTTCGCCATGTTGGCTAGGCGGGTCTCAAACTCCTGGTCTCAAGTGATCTGCCTGCACTGGCCTCCCAAAGTGGTGGGATTACAGGCGTGAGCCACTGTGTCCAGCCACAAGGTACTATTAAGATGAATATCTGGAGTGGAGGTAGGGAATAAGATGAGAAACAGGTGGACAGGGAATAGAGATGGAAGGCAGACTTTTACTGGGTTTCTTTTTTTTCTGAGATGGAGTCTCTCTGTCACCCAGGCTGGAGCATGGTGGCACGAGCTCAGCTCACTGCCTCCCAGGTTTAAGCAATTCTCCTGCCTCAGCCTCCTGAGAAGCTGGAATTACAGGCAGGCACCACCACACCCGCTACTTTATGTATTTTTTAATAGAGATGGGGTTTTACCATGTTGGCCAGGCTAGTCTCAAACTCCTGGCCTCAAGTGATAAGCCTGCTTTGGCCTCCCAAAGTGCTGGGGTTACAGGCATCCAGCCAGTTAAACCGCACCCGGCCAGTTTCTTTGGAAGCTTTTGTAATTACTACACTGCCTACTCAAAATGTAAAGAACATAATAGCACTGGCTAGTTTAAAAGCTCTTCTTACAAGGCAAGTATATTTCAAAATTGTAATCAAAACATCATAACATGACTTTGTTCACCCATTCACATCCCAGCTCACTACTTACTGGCTTTGAGTGTTCCCTTCAAAACTCATGCTGAAATTTGACTGCCATTGTGAGGTGGGACTGTTAAGAGGTAATTAGGTCCTGACACCTCTGCCTTCATAAATAGATTAATGCCATTATTGAGGGAGTGGGTTCCTGATAAAAGTGAGTCTGGCACCCTCTTACCTCTGGCTCACTCTTATAGTCTCTTGTTCTTCTACTTTCTACCATGGGATGACACAGCAGGAAGGCCCTTGCCAGATACTGGCACCACCCTCTTGGACTTCCCAATCTCCAAAACCATAAGCCAAACAAATTTCTTTTCTTTTTTTTTTTTTTTTT